TATAGTAAAATGCACACGTTTGTGAAGTTAAATTTGAAAATAGTGAAGCAAAAATAAATCAGATCAGTTCTTTAAAAAGGAAAAGTTTTAGCTATAAACTGGACCGTCTACAAATGAAACCCGACAGACCACCTGCGGGTGATGGATTTATTGATCGGAAACCTCTGAACCAGGCGTTAGGGATGGGTGTATCCACCTTTTTCTTGTCGTAAAAATGGGCGCGGCCATTTGGAAAATATATGGGTATGGCTTCCGGTTTCATCTGCGTCCAGCTATTTTTAGCTGAGCAAAACAGTTCGTTTTGCTGCTTGATATTGAAAGTTGGTGTGTCTTATCATATTATTTTAATGTATTATCTGAAATTATGAACACACTGGTTTGTAGTGCAAACAGTTTTACCGTTTACTGCACGTTGTTATTCTCCTCGTTATTTACCTATAGCGGCTAATGAACCGGAAGTCTCACCCATAGGCTTACTTCCGCGTTGAAGAAAAAGGTGGATAGACCAATTTAGAGTAGACATCACAGTTACGTCACTTGCAGCTGCGCGCGCATACTGGTTGCAGAAAAACCCTGGGAACAAGTGGAGGGAAATGGGTCAAATCCATGGAATAAAAGAAACAAATATTTTTGTGCCTTTTGATGTCAAGATCGGAATGCAAATAATTTTTATAGAATACTGTCGTCATTTGAAGCTAAACGCAGATGTTTAAATGGACATACTATGGATGAAAACTGCTATTATTACTCTACTTTTAAAGCATAAATTCGATTTAAACAATAGGTCTACATAATATTCACATATGCTGTTCATAGGGGACGTATTGTATTAGCCCTACAGTTACAGCATGAAATATTATTTAAACCTTACTATTAGAAATATTATTTAAACCTTACTATTACAATTTTTACATAACATTTATTTACTTAATCTCACAATTCTGACTTTTTTTCTCGCAAATGCAAGTTTATATCTCCTAATTCGGACTTTATAACTCGACTTAACTCAAAAATAGTGAGTTTGTCAAATCTGAGGGAAAAAAGCCAGAAGAGCCGAGGGGAAAAGAGAGAATGACGAGTTGTTTTTCCTTATTAGAATTGTGAGATATAATCTCGGAATTGCGAGAATAAAGTCATAATTTTGAAATATAAAACCTAATTTAAATTTTTTAAATTATTTTATTCCATGGCTCCATAGACTGCCACTTGAAAACCA